ATAATATACTAATAATAATAATAATAATAATAATAATATAATAATAATAATAATAATAATAATAATAATAATAATAATAATAATAATAATATAATAATAATAATAATAATATAATAATAATAATAATAATAATAATAATAATAATAATAATATAATATAATAATATTAATATATAATAATAATAATAATAATAATAATAATAATAATAATAATAATAATAATAATAATAATAATAATAATAATAATAATAATAATAATAATAATAATAATAATAATAATAATAATATGCAAAACACTACTATGGCATCCTTAGTCCCGAAGTTGAATATGTTTACAATTTATGATTACGGTATCTTTACTTCTGGAAAAAATTGGATTACAAATCCATCATTGTTTGGACTATAGCTCCTTTGTCTTCGAAAAAAAAAAATTTAAAAAAAACTACCATTATGGCCTGCATAGTTTTATCCCTGGACAAAATTTTGTTTAGAAATCGATGGTTATGGCTCCCAACTCCTTAAGAAAAATTACTTGAAAAATAGGTAATTGTGGCCATCTTAGTCCTTGACAAAAAAAAATTGATTAAAAATCAACGATTATTGATATGTTTAAAGTTTTGCTCCCCTAAGTTTTCTTACAATTCAAATTCATTTATTTATGCAACTTGTTTCACAATTTCTTTGTTAACCATGTCTATAATGATGGTCACCTCCGGACGAACAAATATCGCCAACCTGCCGGTTTGGCAGTTGCATTTATTACGATTTCGACTGTTTTTTTTCATTTGTTTTCGTGTTTGGTTTTTTCTCTGGATGAGCGACGTAATAAATTACAGATTCCCAGAAATTAATGTATTTTAAATAAGTGTATACCCACATATATATCTGAAATACGCTTACAATTTATAAAGATGCACACATGCATATATACACACAGATATGTCAATGTATATACACATCTGTACGAACAAACAAGTGACTGACTATACAACTTCAAGTTGGCTACAATGTACACCGAATAACTTTAAATAAAAATCGAAAACTGGTTTGATTTGTTATAAAATACATTTTTTATAGAGGAATGCCAGCGGAGGTTCTTTGGCTCATCTTCTAAAAAAAAAAAATAAAACAGAAACACCATCATCGCATCGAAAAGGAGAGGAGGGAAAATCCACTTTTAAAAGTTATGGATGATAAGACAGAATTTGTCTTGTCGCTGTTGTTTTTGCTTTTATTGCTGCTAATGTTTTTATTTTAATTGAAAACGAAAAAAAAACAGAAACAAATCAAAAAACAACAAAAACGATTGGAAATGAAATGAACAAAAATGATTATTTAAACTTTGTTTTAAACACAAAAATCACAATGACACAATGACTTTTGTCATCGCATCGCCGTCGTCGCCGTCGGCAGCGTCGTGCGTCTTGTCCGTCTCCTGAATTATTGACACTTGGCATGACACAGTGATGGGCCGTAACAATAAATGCATAACCATTTAAACGAGTAACTGGCTGACGAAGTGATGTCGATGATGACAAAGTGAAATATAGTTCCTGTTCAAAGTTCTCAGAGGAGCGACAGCAGAAAGTAACAAATAATCCTGTTATAGTTATTATGGAGAGATGTTTGTTCAAGTTGTTTGTCACGGTGACTGTGGCATGTGGGCGTGTGATTAGTGACATCTAATGCATATTAAGTTGCTTAATGGCGATTTAAATATTAGATTTTATAATTATCTATTTTACAATGTTTAAGTATGACAATAAAGTGCAAAGTATCTGTTGTAGGGAATGATCCAAAATGTTTATAACACAGTATGTGGCCGGATAGACGGAGGTTTTTGCGTTTTCTCTATTTATAAAATTTGGAAGATTGTACAATAAGAAAGCTACTTTTAGGAATTACAAGAGGTCCTTTAAATCCTTCAAAGGGGGGGTTGGCAAATCTAAAAACACCATCACGTGAAAACGTTATACCTGGGAAATATGAATCTAATGCGGAGTTCAATAAATGCAGTATTGGTCCCACTGCTCAAAATTATATTCAGCAGAGCGAATTTTCCTATAAACTGTCTAACCGTAGAGGAAAGCATTATAAATTTATTTAACGCTGAACAAGTAAACACGGAGTTTACAAGAAATTAATCAAATAAAAATAATTCAGTGCATATTTTAAGGCGTTTCTGTTGCATGTTTGAGATACAGAATTTGGACAAATCTGAGATCAAATCAGGATGGGCAATTTCATGTTTTGAGCGATGGTAATGGTCAGTAAACAAATATCAAAAGAGACTTTAATTTTAGGACAGTAATTTTTTTTACATTAAACAATTATACTCAAATTCTATATCAGAAAATTTTTGATTTTGTTCCAGAACCTGAAAGTATCTACAAGTTTTACAATTTTCTTCGATATCATAAAGGAAAAAACTTTTCTTATAGTATAAGTTTTAGATTCTAGCAGATTCTGGAACAGAGTCTGTTTACAAAAGTCAGACATAATGTTATTCTAGTTGCCTTTATAAAATAGCAATATTTAACAAAAACAAGTAAAAACACATTAATTTCGGCCCGGCCAAATTTTTTATACCCTTTACCTTAGGGTAAAGGAAACATTAGAGCCCATTATGACCCACATATACAAATTTTTAGACATATTCGTGGGAAAATGTGCCAAAAATCAAATCCGCGAAGAAATGTGGCAAAAATCATTAAAATGCCGAATATCGGGAGGTACCGTTATATGAGGGCTATACCAAACTGTGGACCTATACATGCAATGTTTCGACATAGGAGCAAGAACCCATTATGACATATAAATGCCAATTTTCAGAGAAATTGGTGAAAAAACTGTGTCAAAAATCATCAAAATACCGAATATCGGGAGACTATACCAAAACGTTGACCTATATATACAATGTTTCGCCACACGAACTGGGACCCATTATGACCTACAAATACCAATTTTTAGACAATATCAGTGAACAAATGTGATAAAAACCGTCAAAATACCGAATATCGGAGGTACAAATACAAATTTTTAGACAAATCCGTGAAAAAATGTGGCATTAAATCAGGAAAATATCGAATATCGGGAGGTACCGTTATATAGGGATTATACCAAAACCTGAACCGATATATCTCATTTTCAATACCAACCATCCTAGACACAATACAAATTTCTCTGCTAAATTTTGGCGCTCTACGTGAAATGATGTGGGATGTATCGTGATTTCAACAGACAGACAGACGAACACACAGGCAGACGGACATCGTTAGATCGACTTAGAATTTTATGCTGATTATGAATATACAGGGTGAGATAAAAAAATTCAACAAAATAAAACGCCATAATTTTTACATTTTTTTTTTAAATTTTATTGAATGAAAGCATAAAATGTCGGAAATAGCATCAAATTTTAGAATAAGTTCAGATTTCTTCGAATTGGTCACCTTTGGCATGAATTATGGCCTTCAAACGGCCAATGAAACCGTCACATGCTGCCCGAATGTTGCTCTGCGGTATTTTTGCCCATTCCCGGCGAAGCGCTTGCTTGAGGTGATCGACACTTTGGTATTTTTTAGTGCCAACCTTGCTTTCCAAAATACTCCAGACACAATAGATCAACGGATTGGAATCCGGAGATTATGGTGACCATTTATCTAAAAACTGGTATTTGTAGTTCATAAGGGGCGGCAGAACATTGACATTTAAGGACCACGTTTTCCTATAGCTCATATATGATACCCACTGATACTAGGTATTTTGATAAACCTAGTCACATTTACCCAAGAAATTATTTCAAAATTGGTATTTAAAAAAATTTGGTCGATGACAATACTTGAAGTGTAGAATTCTCTATGGAGGTTCCCATGTTGATATGACCCCGAAGTTTAACAGCATTATCCAAACGGTCTTACTGGTATTCGTAGTTTAAAGTGGAACACGTTTGAATTCAAATACTTTTATATAACAATGTTTTCTTTACCCAATGGTGGAGGGTATTAAAAGTTCACGTTTTTATTTGTTAGCTTTACTTTCAAAATATAATGGGCGTTTTCTTTAATTGTGGGAAAAATTTGAATTTTTCACAAAGTGACAACAAATTTCAGAAAATTAAAATTTAAATCTAGTTCAAGGGATGAGCAATTAATTTTATCAAAAATCATAATTTTCAGTTTGTCTCTAAACTAAATGCCAAACATCGTGATTTATTTGTTTGATTCCTCATTTTAAACTGCACAAATGCCATCTACTGGGGAACTTGTAAATCAACCAATTTAAGCTTCTTCAATTTATTCAATTCCCAACAAAAGCTTTCTAGTAGTTCGTTTTCAAATCACTGCAATAATGTTATGGCAGTTTTTGAATTTCTCTTCAAACATTCAAATACACACATTTCCGTTACAAAGAACTGAGAGTAAGAGAACCCACTATATACGGCAACGAAGAGAAATGCCTAACAAGAGATAAATCCATTTATGTGTTGTTTTCATTTTGTTTTGGTGTGTGGGGGCTCTTAGTAAAACAAAGAGTGTCTGTGCAACCCCCACACACAATGGAGCTCTTTTGAAGAGAACGTGAGAGTATTTTGTTTGTAGTAAAAATATATACTGAGTAGTCGTTACAACCCACAATAGAAAAGAGCAACAACAACAATAGACTGAAGAATAATAGTACTACATTTAAAATAGTAGAGAGGTAGGAGGTAGGTAGGTATGTAAATGGTTACGAATGTAACAAAAAGAAAACATAGAAGAAGAAGAAACGAACGATAGATAGGTCGACAGCGGAAAAAATGCATGGGTATGGATTTGGGAAAAACAAAAAATATAACCCCAAAAGAGGAGACGGCAGGCAAGTGATTAAAGAACACGTTAACTAAATATAGATAGGTACGGATGTATGTATATCTGTAGGTATGTGCCAAGTCGATGGTGCTGTTGGCGTCAACTGAAGCAGCGGCAGCAAAAGCAGTTATGTTCGTTCGAGAGCCAAACGGCAAGACCGTGTTTTTCAAGCTCAGTCGTTTGGAAGCGCGCGTATGATAAAGTTGTGTTGTGTTTAACGTGATAAACTGAACGAACGAAAGCTAGATATAAATCGCCATCAATGAAATTGAGAAATTGTCCATAACAGTAAACAATATTTGAATTTGAGAGTAGAGCCACAACCGATTAGAGTCGAGCAGAGCAGAGCAGAGAGTGTGTGTGTGTGATAAAGCATTGGAAAAGAAGAAGTAGTGATTAAAATAAAAATACAATTCTACCAAACTCAATTCATGTAACAAAAAAAAAAGAAATTTGAATAAAATAATACAAAAAAATAGTGTTGGAAAAAGAAAAAAATAACAAGAAAACCTCGAATTGAGAAAAAAGAGAGTTAATTAATAAAAAAAGAACAGCAACAAAAAATAAAAGTGTACGTAAAATAGCTATCTTAGTCAATACATACATATATGTATATGTAGATATAAATATATATAAAAATACATACAAACCAACAACATAGAGAAAATTGGTATCTACCAAGAAAATATTGAAAGAAAAGTACAAAAATTATTAAAAAAAAAAACAAAAAAAAAATCCCAAAAAATTAAAAATATTAAAGTTTTCATAAAATACGATTCGTGGAAAATCCAGTTCCAAAGTGTTTGCAAAAAGAACCTCGTGTTGTTGTTGCTGGTGTCTGCAATCTCTGACGCCGTTGCCTTTTGCAATTCTTCTTTTCTTGGGAGAAAACTGCCGCTGGTCTACAATTTATCAAGAGTATGTCTGTGGGTCTGTCGCCTACGTCAAGTGTTGTTGCTGGTTTCTTGATTGCATTGCATTGAAATAATGTCTAGAATAAAAAAGTGCAAAATAATAATAATAATAACAACAATAAAGGTTAATGAATTATCGCTCTCCACCAGCATGCCGCTTTGCCTTGGTGTTGACACTTTTTTTAATATCGGAATTTATTTACTAAGAAATAATAAAAAGTTGGCTCTTTATCATTGTGTCAGCTTTGTTGACTGTGGTCGCTGGAAGTCCAATAAAACAATAAAAACCCCCAACTGCACTTCTCTCTTACAACTCGCATGTACATACTTACATGTACATAGGTACACACATGTATGCCCCCCCCCCCCACACACACAAAGAAGCCATTAAAGCTCTTGTAACATTAGTCGGCAGCAGCGGTGGCGGCGGTGGCTTTACTATTTTCTAACAACAGACAAAAAAAAAGATCACAAAACAAGAGAGCCAAAGAAGAGAGGTCAACAAGAGATAAGGTTAAATAATTCAGTTGTTGTAACCGTTATATGATTAATGAGTGTTGTTCTTCTTGTTGTTGTTGCTGTCGTTGTGTGATTAAACTCTTGCGGCAATCATCATTGTACTATGCACTAGTTTGATAGTTGTTTATGCAGCAGCCATACCGACGAACATCCACTTAACCAGGCAGCCGCCAGTCAAGTCGGCCAAACAGCCAGCCAACCATTCAAATTACCTTTGGACCAGACAGACGCAGCCAGTAGGGTTTTCATTCATATTTAATGCATAGAGTTTACATTCAGAAATACAATTAGGTGCAGAAAAATAGCAACACTTCAATTATAATTCAAACTTTGCTTTGACTTAATCCTAGTATAGCCATAACTCCGGGATCGGTCTGAAATGTATACCATAGATAAATCTTGGCCTCCTGACTACAAATAGGTACATTATTCAGTTTTTTGAACCGATAGTTCGGGTAAAAACAAACCGAATACGACTGCCTTTTTACAAACAATGGAGTATCAGAACAAAACTTAAGAAATTGCCGTTCGAATGATGTATCTTTTTGTTAAGATGGCAAACTCGGTTTGGTAGCTAGGACAGAAAACAGTTTTTTACTATATATTTGGAATACATATTCCGGTTATTACCATAAAACTTAAAAATTTTAAAGAATATTTGGTTGGTGTTCCCGAAATTTTCCCTGTAAATGGGAGGCAATTTTTATAAATTCTTTCGTTTTGAGAAAAAGTTCGATTGCGTAGCCGGAATTTATTTCTGTCCATAGGAGAAAGACCGTCGGAAGGCCGTTTATTTAGAAAAAACTTTTAGTTTTAAGAAATAGTTCATTGGATACCCATATAAGTTGTAGGAAACCGGGTTTTCCCTAAGGGTCTATCTACATAAAAAATCAGATCGATCCGAGAATTATAGCTCAACTATGATTGTTCCTTTGCTTTTTTAGAATAAAGGGCGATTTTTTCAGAGTCATTGGAAATTAAAAAAAAAGAAAATCATGAAAATTTTTATTTGATTTGGAAGTGCAGTAAACATGATTTAATGTTTGCAGATTATTTCATGCAAAAAAAGTTTATTTGATACCCATATCTGTTCTAAAAACCGGTTTTCCCCGAGTTTTCGGTTCAAAAACCGGATAACCGGTTATGACCGTCGAATACAATTTAAATTTTTGTATTCAGGAGACCAAGGTCTATCTACAGAAAAAAATCAGAGCGATCCGAGAGTTATTGCTAAACTAGGATTGTTCTTTTGCCTTTTTGAGATAAAGGGTGATTTTTTGAGAGCCATTGGATTTTTTTTTTCAAAAAAAAAAAAAAAAAAAAACAAAATCTTAAAATCTTTATTTGAATTTATACTACGATCGATATAATTTAATGTTTGCAGATTATTTCATGCAAATGTTGACCGAGACTGCTTCTCAAATGGTCAATCCGCTTTAGTCCACTTCTGGCGTACTCTTTCCATGTGGCAGCGACTTTTTGAAATCACATGTCATTCAAGTCAAGCTCTTGGATTTTGGTAAAAAAAACTGGGATACGTTAGGATCTCCATAGAATAACTTTCTGATTCGATTTATGCATGCCAGTCCGTCATCCGTCCGTCTCTCCATGTATTTTTGTGAACAAAATGTAGATCGAATTTATTATCGGAATAAGATGAAATTTTGTAAACAATATTATTTTTGCCCAAGGACGAACCCTATTGAAAATGGTGAGAATCGGTTCAAATTTGGATATAGCTCCCATATATCTTCAACCGTTTTCGGCCAATATCACAAAATGGCCAATATTAGTCCAAATGACCTTAATTTTGGCTCATCCGACCGAATTTGGTCTAGAAGCAAGTTCATTATATTTGGAGAAAATCGGTTCAGAAATAGCTATAGCACCCATATACATGTTTCATTCGATTTGGTAGTTTAAGTCCCTCAGGCGCATAGTATGCACTTCAAAACAATGATCTCTGGTACCAGATATCAGATAAATGTTTCAAATTTTGTCAAGATCGTTTCAGATTTGAATATAACTCCCATATATATCTTCAACCGATTGCAGGTTTTTTGTGCACTAAATGGCTAATATAAGCCCAAATGGACTGAATTTTGGCAATTACGACTGAATTCCTCTTAGAAATGAGTACTTCAAATGTGGTGTAAATCGGTTCAGATATAGCTATAGCTCTCATGTGTATGTTTTATCCGATTTGGGATTTATTGTCCCTCACACGCGCAATATGCACTCCACCACAATGATCTCTGGTACCAGGCATCACATAAATGTTTCAAATTTTGTCAAGATCGGTTCAGATTTGGATATAGCTCCCATACATATCTTCAACCGATTTCAGGTTTATTGTGCACCAAATGGCTAATAATAGCCATAATGAATTTTGGCAATTACGACTGAAATTATCTTAGAAATCAGTACTTTAAAGTCCCTCACACGCATAGTATGTACTCTACAACAATGATATCTGGTACCAGATATCAGATACAGCTCTGAAATAAATGTTTCAATTTCAAATTTCGGTTTAGATTTGGTTATACCTCCTTTATGTGGTGTTTTGTTTATTTTAGGTGTTTAGTGCACCAAATTGCTAATATCAGCCCAAATGAACTGCATCTTGACATTTCCGACGGAATTTAGCCTAAAAGCAAGCGCATCACATTTTGGTGAAAATCGGTTCAGATATAGCTATAGCTCTCATATAAATGTTTTCGTATAACGGTTCCTCCTCCTCCTCATATTCGGTCTTTGGATGATTTTAGGAACATCATTTTCCCGAATTGTTTCAAATTTCGTATTCGAAGTTTTGTAATGGGCACTACAGCCTAAGCCTAAAAAGTTCGTATGCATGTCCCCGTCTTCTTATAGCCCCTATATAACGATATCTCTCGATGTTCGGTATTTTTATGATTTTAGCGACTTTGTTTCCCGGAGTTGTTTCAAATCTCGTATTTGAAGTTCGGAATTAGTACACAGACTATGAGTGAAAATTGCTTATACAGGTCGAAGTCTTCGTATAGCCCCTATATAACGGTACCCCCCGATTTTCGTGATGATGTCAGCTATATTATTCACTGGAATTATTTCATGTTTCGTATTTGAAATTCTTAATAGTTACTGCGACTTGTGACGGAAAATTGCCTATGCCGGTCCATGTCTGCATATAGCCCACATATAACAATTCATTACAAGTTTCGTATTTCAATATTGTAATGACCCATGACAAAAATTGCCTATGCAGGTCCACGTTTTCGTATAGCCCCTATATAACGACACTTCCCGATGTTCGGTATTCTAATGCATTTTACGACATTATTAACTGGAATTGTTTCAGATGTTTCAGATCGTATTAGAAGTTCTGAATCGGTACATAGCCTATAACAAAAAAAAATCTAAGTGGCCCTTCCAAGATTTTTTGTTATAGGCTATGTACCGATTGAGAACTTCTAATACGATCTTCGTATAGTCCTCATATAACGGGTTTCAGTTGAGATGTAATTTTCTATGGATTTTTTTTTTTGAAAATTTTAATTTCCTTCAAAATGGTGAATGATGTTAAAAGTTCGGTTCGGCCGTACTTAGCTGCTAAATGTTAGCTCTGCTTTCATAATCTGCTGGATTTTTTTTTATTATTGAAAAAAAAAATTGTCGCGCAGTGTTATTCGGTTCATGTGGCTCCCATATTTTTTGCTGGATGCTGAGCCTATTTTTTTTTTTTAAATTTTAAGAAGAACCACCTTTATTTTTCAACACAACTGTGAAATCTACCAGCATACTGTGTTTTTAATATAAAATAAAGCAAATGTTGGACACTGATTCAATTTTACGTTCTGTTTGTTCGCTTACCTTGTAGGCCAGACTTTTGTGCCGCAATATTTGGCTCAAACACAAAAGCAGTGAAAAACTCAAATTACAAAGTTATATTTCTCTTTCTTCTTCTTCTTCTTCGTTATGTGCTATAATTCAAACAGCCCAAGGCTGAACGACAAAGTCATCAAAGATAGATGGAAGAATATCTAGCATGAAAACCATACTCTTACATGGTCGTAGAATATGAATGTTATTCATGGACATCATATCTATGAACAATGGCCGAAAAATATTTAAATTTCAAGGAAAAATTCAGGGGAGG